GGGTGCATCCCATCGGGGCCCATGGATTTATGGATGTCAAGTTTGGACAAAAGATCTCTAACCTGATCCTCCTCCACCAAGGGAGAGTCTTCCTTTCTCCAGCCTTCCTCTCTTGTCCCCAGGGTCTGGAATTCCTGAGGACTGGCCTTAGCAGTGAAGACTGAAGCAAAGAAGGCATTCAGCAACTCTGCCTTCTCTGTATCCTTTGTTATCAGGGCATCTGCCCCATTCAGCAGTGGGCCCACATTTTCCCTAGTCTTCCTTTTGCTATTGATGTATTTGAAGAAGCCCTTCTTGTTGTCCTTGACATCCCTTGACAGGTTTAATTCCAAATGAGCCTTAGCCTTCCTTGTCGCATCCCTGCAGACTCTGACAACGTCCCTCTATTCTTTCCAAGTGGCCTGTCCCCTTTGCCACCTTCTGTAGACTTCCTTCTTCTGTTGGAGTTTTGCCAAGAGCTCCTTGCTCATCCAGGCAGCTCTCCTGCCTGCATTGCTGGATTTCTTACTCAGAGGGATGCACCGATCTTGAGCCTGGAGGAGGTGATGCTTGAATATTAACCAGCTTTCTTGGACCCCTCTTCTTTCTAGGGCCCTGTCCCATGAGGTTCCCCTAAGTAGGTCCCTGAAGAGGCCAAAGTTAGCTCTCCTGAAGTCCAGGGTTGAAATCCTACTTATTGCCCTGCTCCCTCCTCGTAGGATCCTGAACTCCACCATCTCATGGTCACTGCAGCCAAGGCTGCCCCCAACCTTCACATCTTCAACTAGACCTTCTTTGTTCGTTAGTACAAGGTCTAGCAGCACACCTCTCCTCGTTGGCGTCTCCACCACCTGGGTCAAGAAATTATCACCAATGCTCTGCAGGAACCTCTTTGACTGTTTGTGCCTAGCTGTGCTGAAATGTTAATGAATGTTAAACCAGAGAAGGGTCTATCTACATCTGCTTTAAATGTTTAGTATTTGAAACTTGAATTAAAAGAGCCTTAAGGCAAAAAATTCATCTTGGTTTCTCTATGCTATAAGGCTTCTTGATAATATAGATCAGATGGGGTTCTATTTGTTTACTGATATTTTTCTGAAGCTGCAAGCATATTTAAGCTGCCAATTTAGAATATTTCATCAAATAAAAGAAACTCAGTTACAATTTTTGGAACAAATCTTTGGACAAAAAGACCAGAGTGCTGCCTGAAAGCAAGTGGGAGAGGAGGACCAGCACCAACAAAAAGCAAAACCCAGACTAAAGGGAACAGGAAAGCGCCTTGGCCTTATACCTTTCTCCCCAGCTTAAAACATAGCTACAAGTTACCAAATTCCAGTTGTATTCTGCTGCAATCAGTTCTGTCTTGGCAGGACTGCATTTGGCTCTTAGTATAAAGTGATTTAGCAGAGCAATCATTCTTTAGGTCAAAATGGCTGTAACATTTCCAATGTTACTAAGACACTACTACTGCCACTTACCTTCCTCTCTCCTTATTAACCACAGTCCACTATTATTTATTTATATGCCTTCTCCCTTGAGTTTTTGAAAGGCATGTGCAAGAACGTGCATGTACCACTGCACAGTGTGCCATGTCGCAGGCATTGAAAGCATGTAAGAACAAGGACATTAACTTTTGGCTCAGCCCTCCTCATTGCTGTACAGTTGACTGGCTTCCAAAGCATTGCAACAGCTCCCTTCAGCATGTACAGTTTAATCTGGTATGTGTCCCAACCGTGAATACAGCATGCAGTTCCGATTAGCTCTTCTCAGAACGGATATAGTACAGGTAGACGTGAAATAAAGGAGGGTAACAAGAATTACGTGGCATGTGGAACAGCTTCTGCATAAGGAGAGACTACACAGACAAGGACTGAGATGACTGTGGACGGTTATGGTTGAATACTGGTTCTTGATCTCCTCCTCGATGTACACACTCATACAGTGGCTTTCAAATTGGAATGATATTCTGGAAGAATTTATTTTTGGAGTAGTCAAGGCATGTGGAGAATGGTGATCTGACTCATATAGTCTTATTTGCATTTCCAAGCGACTTTTGACCAAGTTTCATATTCAATTTTTTTAAGGAACCTAAAGAGGCAAGGGATAAGAACGAAGGTCATGGCACAGACATACGTTTAAGATAGGACAAAGAGGGCAAGTAGTGATTGATTCTCAGAACAGACAGCGGTTACAAGTGGAGTTCTGCAGGGGTCAGTGCTGCTCTGGAAAAGGAGATAAGCAGTGAGGTTGAGAAAGTTTGCTGATGATAGAGATTACTGAGATGAGTGGCAGCAAGGAAGGCACAGTGGGAAAATGCTTGAGTGACTGGCCAGGTGAAATTCAAGGTATGTAAAGGGGTGTGCACGAGGGAAAAATTATTCTGAATTCATGTATAAAAATATGGCCTCTGAGCTGAGACAGGACTCTACAGCCTGGAAAAGAGACTACTTAGCAGGGGGAAGTGATGCATGTCTAGAAAACTCTAAGTACCATGAAGAAGGATGGATGGGATTGATTATTCACTGCTGACTAGGAGATATCAAATGAAACTAGTAGGAACCAGGTCCATTCCCCCAACCCTGCAATGCTTCATGCAATGGAAATAAACCTGCAGAAGTTTGCCAAAGAAAGTTGAATGATTAAAGTTAGCATGAATTCAAGAGGAAACTGAACAAAATACAGAGAGAAATCTGTCAGAAATCTATTTTTAATAGAAATTAAATAGAAATTAAAAATATATAGCTCATGACATCTCCCAAGCTAACTACAGTTGGAGGCTGGGAGGGTATTCAGTGGAAGTGCTTGCCCTATTCTTCCTCTTTCCTGGCATCAGCTTACAACCACTGTGGGAAACAGAACTTGGGGTTGGAGGATCCTTGTTCTAACCTAGCACAGCCATTCTTGTATACTTACAAGTAACCAGTCTAATACCAGTACTTAATACTACAGTGTGTGTGGGGGGGGGAGAGCTGCTACACATATGCTAAGTAGTATAGAGAAGTATATTTTCACCATGTATGTCGATTTGGGAATTGTTCACCTAACAGCTAAACCCACTAAGCACTGCAATTGATCTAATATAGTAACATTTTGTTTGACAATTGCAACTTCTGCTTTCATATCCATTTCCTTCTTTCTTAAATGGGCAGGTTAACTGAACACAGTGAACGTAAGGATGATTCCTGTCCTTAAGAGCTATTGAACCAAGGCCAATTGCTTGCTTGCTTGCGTAATCTAAGGACTCTGAGTCATATACACTGAAACAGAAAGCAGCAACAGTTCAGGATATACAGCAGTGCTTGCAGGGTTCTCTGTTGTCTCTGCTAGAGGTAGCCATTCACCTAGTACAGTGACAGACAGGACTATGTGCATCTTTCTCTGCTGTTGCAGTTCCCGGTCTGACATGTTAGTTTATACTGCCCCTCCAGAATCAGGGCTCAGCAAGTTTATTATCCAAACAGCCCCTATATAAACATAAGGGTGGGGACATAACAAGGATGCTACAAAGAAAGCATGGCAAGTGCATGCTCTGTATGCAGAGGCCTAAATGTCATTTGACAGTGACTCAGAAGACTGGTGTTTCTTAATCAGGCTACATTCTTTTAATATCAACGTGCAAAGCCAGCTGTGACATAATTTGATCAAGGTAATAAATTGTGAAGCTAAGCAAGAAATCTACCCTTTGCTATATGCACAAAAAGCATTAACTGTTCTCAAGCATCCAAATTATTCCACCGAAGTGCAAGCTAAAATTCCTAGATATTAAGAGCCAGATAGCCACTGTGTTCCACTAGATAACCGGCCTGTAGGCAGACAGTGCTCCTGCAGTTTTTTGGGAAGGCAGTGCTGGACACCTGTGAGGAGGTGCACTCCTCTACACTAAGGAAGTAGAGTATGTACTAGGCCCTCCAAGCCTGAATAGCAATACTGACTGGTGTAAAGGGATAGGGAGTAGATTTAATTCCTTTCTATCTCTACTCAAAGTAACAAAAATAGGGAATTCTCCTTGATTTTAGAAAGCTACGTCCTTTACAAATGATTTACAAAGATGTACATTCTATAAGGAAAGGTAATGCATGCACATACTGCTATGGGATGTTTTTATTTGTTCCCTCCTTTCCCTAGTATCTGTCATAGCTTTAATATTGCTTTAATATTTTTGTAGATATGTGGAAATGCCTAAGGCTTGTCCATAAGTTTCCAGCTGTCTAAGTCACTATGCAGCTGTACATCCAGCTTCATAACCTGTGCATGGCTTCATAACTCAAAGACACAAATGTAGATCTCATTTAAAAGAGCAGGCTGCACTGCAACTATGTTGAGTCTGGGCAGCATATTTCCGGGCCAATGAAAAAAGCGCAGCTGGTGCAAAAAGTGTTAAAATAAGCTTGGCAATGCACTTTACTGTTTCATAATCAACAACAATATGATCTGCAAGTAAATACTGCTTGTATTACCAGCCACTAGTAGACAGGATGTCACTGTATATATGTTCTAGGATAATTTGTCACAAAGAGTTAGCATCCAGCACTGAAGACAGGAGGTATATTGTCAGCTAAGCTGCTACCTATATACTCAAGAAAGATATCTGTAATACATTCAAGTTATGAGATTAGTTATTTATTCAGATATTGAGATAAAGCACCAAAAAGAACGGAAAAAAAACTAATTTCATAGTATTGTGCCTGAATATTACTTGAAATACCATTCAGGAGAGCAGTTAACAGGTTCCTCCTTCCAAAGAGTCTTCAGACGCTGGGCCCAAGCAAGCAGCATCTCCTTCCTTTTCTCCTCGGAGACATATTCCGGAGCAAAGCAGATGTGAGGAGCAAGGACTTTGACACCACAGTAGTGCATGATGCCGTGCTAGACTCAAAGGAAAGAAAGAGATGCCTCAGGACATAGGTAGCTTTTCAGATTCAGTTCAAAAATGTAGAAAATTCAGATCTGATACCCAATATAAGGCATACTTCCTAAACCGTACATTTGTCAGAAAAAGGGAAATGAACTGGAAGAGTTCCCTGCCTATCTTGGGAGTTAGTACTGAAGGCTAGACATTATGCAGAATGACATACAATACACTGAAAAGTGAGGCTAATTTCATTTATTCTGCTCTATAGAATTTATTTCTAAGTGCCCACAGAATTGTCCTCTTCAGCTGCCATGTGCTATTAAATTTGCATGGATCAGAGACACCCTAATGCTCACTGTGCTGTTTGAATCTCCATGGATTGTTCCAGAGCTCCAGTATATTTCTCATCTACTTCTAAAAATGTTTAACCTTTTGCTTTCAGTTAGCCACACAGTTCTGAATGAGCATTAGTGCCTTTCAAATCACCTCAACTCACTATCTTCCCTCTGTGTATTTCTGAAATGGTAGCTGTGTTTGTAGCTGAACTTGTAATGCTCTTCTTTATGTCGACTTGCAAGTTACGCAGCTCGATAGCCTCAGTGCTCATTAGGGCACTGAGAGCATTAGATTTTATCAAGAAGCTAGCACAGTTTGCCTTACCATCTAAAGTTTCTCAAAACATGTTTGCTACCTCTGACAAAAGAAAAGACATGCTAACTCTTGTGTGCTGATCCTTCACACCAGCA